CGCCATTGTGTATGAGGCTAGTGTTCTATAGATGGCAGTAAATAACCCGCGTTAATTCTACAGATGGTTAAGCGAGTTCCGATTTGCTATATAGCTTTAAATTACCGCTCGATTAAACATCCCTCTAATGTTTTAGTATATATACAAAATCTCCATTATAATTTTCCTATATAATATATTGTTATAGTTTCCTATTTTCTTCAAAAAAAAAAAAAAAAATGCGATATTTCTCAATTTTTTTCTTCCATTTTCTCATTTAATTATTTTTACTTATATTCTATTTCATGAAATTAATTCGGAAAAAAAATCTATTTTATTTGGGGAAAAATTTATAATTCCATTGGGGATCGAACTCCAAACACAAAAAAATAGAATATCGCAATCATTTTACCATGGAATGTGTAAATTTTTTCTATTTTTGTGCGTATATAATAATTTTTTGTTTTTTTTTCTTTCATAAAAAGCAATTACGCTTGTGGCCTTTTGGGGTTATAATACCCAACTATAATCAAGTAGTGTGTATAATTTGTAAAATGCTAATTAAAAGAGCTAATTAAAAGCAGCTAATTAAAAGCGAACAGTTCTTTGAATCGACGACGCGAAAGTTTCTTTTGTTTTCAAGTCTTTATATATACCTATATTATACTTTATTATTTTAATTTAATTAAAATCAAGACGCTGTGGGTTTTTATATGGACATTTTTTTTTTTTTATATTTACACTTTTTTGATTTTATTTTTCATATTTATAATTAAGCTGTTTTACTATGAAAAAAATATAAATAAATGAAATAAGTTGTATAGGAATAAATTTCCCCCTTCTTTTCTAGTCAGATTTTATAATTGAAAGAAACTTCCGGTTAAAGAAAACGTTAGTCAGTAGTAGAGTTTGTTTTTATTGATCATGTGTTAAGAAGTGAGTGATATAATATCCAAAAATTTATCGAATCAAAGCAAGTTGAAAAGTGTGAAGAGTAAAAAATTAAATAAAAAGAACCTAGTAATTGAATTTTTAAATCAAAGTTACTAAAAAATGTTATTATTCCAACAGTAGTGATAGGATAAAAAAAATTCAGGAATTTTTGAGGTTAGAAACAGTCGAAAAATTAAAGAGATCAATTGACTAGAGCAGTTGCTTCAACTAAATAGCAGAGGGCGCTAATGAAAAAGGTGGTAAATTTCAAAATTTGAAAAATCACGTTTACAACTATAAATAAAATTTATTAACACTAAACGTAAAAAAAATGTATTTGATAAAGTAATTTCTTTTTATGGAAAATTTTTATTACTTTACAAAAAAAAACGCTGATTAAAAAAAAATCAATTTCTCTCTATGAGTCATGTTTTTGTACACTGTCAATTTATATAGTTGCGTGACGCACTTCTTTATTATTTCTCTTTTTTCTCAATATATAATAATCCTTATTTACTGGAGACAAACCGGTCCCCCTCATGTTATATAGATTGTATATACAACCATGTTATTGCACTGATAGTACTTATATGAAATGTAACTTGATAACATCTTTAAAGAGAAAATTATTTTTAAACTTCAATTTACTATATAGTAATTTCATCCTATTATTATATATTGCAGATAATTAAAACTCACACACCAATCAAATTCGTTCATGGAGGTAAAATTATATTTCATTATCTCTCAACTATTTTGCTATTCAAAAATTATTATATTTCATATTTTATTAATTAATAAAAATAATTAATTTATTAATTGATATTAATTATTATTTTTTTTAATGAAAATATATATGTAATTTTTTGAAATGTGCAATAAAAGGAGAAAAAATTTTCATTAAAAAATTGCAATTCTCAAGAAATTTCTACTGCATTAGTTCCATTTGTTCCACGCCATTCCATTACTGAAAGTTAGAGGGTTGGGTATTATAAACGGTAGAATAACTCGCAATTTGAGGGTAACAGGAAGTCGTTGAGACGCCATTTTGAATTCGTGAGATTAATGCTAACATTATTTCAAATGAAATAACATTTTTATGAAACACAAGTCGATTTATTAAACGATTAAATAAAATTTTCACATTTTTATTAATTTTCTTATATATGAAGCTACCAATTAGAAAAAGAAATTTTAATTAGAAAATATATATCATTCCTATTAATCTAATCTTAATTAACTCTAATAACACTACTAAATTTTTCACATATAAACGATTTTTTTTTAATTAAGAATTTTAATTAAATATCGCTTATATATAATAAAAAATATGTTTTTTTTTTTTGCCAAAAAGTTTTTTTTTTCTAACGCATACTGTAATTTATTTTGAATGTATAATAAATAAAATAAAAACAGCAATTTCCCATATAGAAATGTTTTGTTTTTAAATTGACAAAAAAAAAAAATTAACAATCGCCAAGGATTTCAACTTAATAAAATACAATGCACTTTCCCACACTTATGAATGATCTTGACTCAAAGCCGCGCGCAATACCACGGAATCACATTCGCATAACCGTTACACTCGACTAATTACATTTTTCCCGTGTTGTTTTTAATTCTTATTCTCCCGAAATATATAATATTTTTTAATTTAGAAATAAACAAAATAAATATATATTTTTTAAAAATATTTGAATCAACGAAAAAAATTCACATGCCTTTGATGATTTAACCATTTTTAATTTTATTTATAATTAAATATAATTATTTAAATTAAATTAAATAACTAAAATTAAAATAAATATGGTTTTAGGATGAAAATTGTAAAGGCCTTTTTAAAAGGCAGACAATTAAGTAAATTATTATTTTTATTATTATTACTAGAATTATTATTATTGTTATTTTTATAATTATTACTAGAATTATTATTGTTATTATTATTATTATTATTATTATTATTATTACTATTATTTTGTAACATTATTAGTATTAATTAAAATAAATGAATATTAAAGCAAAATTAGCCGTATTCGTGGTCTTATAACCCATCAAATAAATTGGCAGAGAATAGCGAATGGAAAGAGGGAGGGAGGGGTGGTTGAAAAGGGGTGATGGGGGAGAGAATGTCGACTAGGGAAGTCGGGACAATATACGCGGGGGAGGTTTTTTCAGGAGACGAGCACTCTCGATCGATATAGGCATTCGAGAGTTCTTTCAAAGGAAAATTCCTGACGCTATTAAATCCAATTTAAAAACTTTTATTTTCTCTCTCTCTCTCTCTCTCTTGGTACTCTCTCCCACCCCCACTTTTCAACCACCCACCAACCAAGACCATGGTAAATTTATTTTCCTTTGCTCCCTTTTACAAGAGAGAAAGAGAGAGAATAAATTGCTAAAAGGATTTTGGACGATATAACGCTATCTATCATCCTTTCCTGATCTATATATATATATATATATATATATACGTTGAGGGTGAATTCTTTAGTTCCAACTTTTAACCCCCCTCACCTCATTCTCTTCCTATATTTCCTCTTTCTCTCCTCATACCCTCATCGACATCCCTATCCCTCAGAATCTTGGGTTTCTTTATCCTTTTTTTATTATTCTCATTCCATTAAATTACATTCTTATAGGAGCTTATATTGTATACTTATTTTGATATTTTTTTTCCATTTTTTTTTTTTTTTTTTTGTATTAAATCAAGACCCAAGTCTGTTTTTTTTTGAGATTTAAAAATGTTTTGAGAGAACTTAACTTTTCTTTTTATGGGATGGCTTATACTTGTATAATAGAATTTTATATTTATAGTATCATCTCTCTTTAATTTTATGGATGAAAAAAAGGGGGAATCCCTTTAATAGTTATATATATATATATTTCTCCAGGGGTTATGTATGAGACATGGGGAAAAAAATTTTCATTTTTCGTCCAATTGAACATTTTTTAAATTAAAAAAAAAAAAAAAAGTATTTCATATTAGATTATATTTCAAATTTAAATTAAAACTGTTTTATAAATATAAAAAAAAAATTAATAGAAAAAAGAATTAAAATACATTTATTATATATCCTGAATTTGATGATTTTTATGGTTGATTGACAGGGTTGCAAATATTTAATTTCATATAATAAACCCTATTTTGAAAATTAAATTAAACGTCAATTTACAAAATATGAAACATAATGTATATATTTTCTCATTGGATTTTTAATTAATTTTCATATCATTTTTACCGGTATTTAATTAAAATAAATTTTTCACAATAAAGGCAAAAAAAGGAAAATTCCCCTTGATTGTTTTACATTGATTGCATTTCATTAAAAATTCTTTCAACAAATAATATTAATTCATCTTTTTTTTCTCATTTAAATCAGAGTTTTACTTCTTTTTTTTCTGTAATAGTGTTTTAATATAGAAAGTAATTGTAAAAGAGAAACTCTTTTTTTTCAGAATGCACGTTTAATTAAATTCTTCTATACGCATTTAAAAATTATTAATGGTACCAGACGGAGGAGGCAGAAATCCTTTAATAATTATTCGAATGAAAAAAATAAAATTCTCAATTAATGTTTAATGTTTTTATAAACTAATTATAATTATTAATATTATTTGTTTTAATATAATATGTTAATTTAATAAAATACTTTTTATCACAATATTTTTATTTAAATATTATAAATTTCAGTTAGGTGGAAAAAAATTTTTTTTAATATTCAAAGATTAAAAAGAATTTTTAATTAAAAAATTCTAAATAATCGATAAAACCAATATTAATTACACTGTAAAACGAGAGGTATATAATTTAATACCAACTTTAGGTACTAAATTGCTTTTTAATTCTATTTTAATACCTAAAATCGGTACTATTTTAGTACCTTCTTTTTACAGTGATAATTAAAAATTGAAAGATGTGAAAATTTCTATTTTTTTTTTTACTTTTAGAAAAAAAAAATTATTGAAATTTATCTTAATTTCAAATGTATGTTTATTATTGATTATATTTATTAATGTAGTTGATATTGTAATATCGATGTTTGCACGCACTTTTGTCTTAAGAGCAATTTTTCGTTTTCACGTTGCAGACTTTTCACACGCCAAGTTTCGGCGATGAGGATTTTGACATCCCTTCGATCCACACGCACTCGCATCAACAACATCAACAACAGCAGCAACATCATCAACAGCACGACCCAATGCACGCTTATCAATCACAGGTATATTTGCACTCAAAACCCTCGGAATTAAAAAAAAAAAATATTTTTTGCAAATTTCACAACGAAAGGAAGGAAAAAAAATTGATTAGAAAAACTTTTTTAAATTGCAATAATAAAATAATTATTATTATTATTATTATAGCTATAATAAACATATATTTTAAAACTGTTGTTAACAAATTTTATCAGGTTTTCTCTCATGCGAATTATGTCACGACTCAGTTCATAAAGTTTTAAGTGACTTAAATAAATTTTTAATTGTTTGTTAAATGTAATAAATTTCAACTTCAACTCGCACGCGCATTTGCATTCAATTTATTATGCAACTTAATGACTATTCCGCGATATTATTATGACTGCGAATTAATGTTTTATGAATAATGAATATATTCAAACTAGAAAGCAATTTTGAAAATGAAATTTAATTTCCATTTGTTTTTTCTAAAATTATTATTGACAAGAAACTAGTTTTGTATAAAAAAAAATTATATATATAAAACAAGTTACGCATAATTAAATTTTTAATATTAATCTTATTAGATTATTAATCACAGAATTATATAAGATAATTTTTATGTATATAGATAAATTCAAGAAGTAAAAAACAATTTTTCCGCGAACAATTTGGAAAGTAACTGTAAATAATTTTTTTTTTTCCATTCTCTTAAAAACTAATTTATAAAACAGACAGCTCAATTTTAAATTCTATTTTTATACCCAACGTCTATAATTCGAAAGCAAAATTCATTTCTTTGCTAAAAAATTTTCGTATATATATATATGTTTATTCAAATTTATTCAAATTTATGCGGCATTAAATATTTTTCATTAATGTTTAAATTTCTTCTTCAAATGAATACTTCCTTCTTTTGTAAGATTTGCATAAAATATTAAAAAAAAATAATACTTTTGCCTCCTTTCTCAGTTACTTTCGTCGCGATAAACGAATACATAACGGAAGGAACAATAAGTTTATTGTATTCCATAATATAATAATAAAAATAATAATTTTTTTTATTTTTATTATTTTTATTATTTTATTATTATTATTATTATTATTATAAATTATTATAATGGCAAAAAAAATTTTACGGTAGCCTTGCTGATAGTCATGAGAAGGCGCGGAACAATTGAAATGACAGTATTGCATTATTCTCTCCATATATATCCTTAGCGCAAAAGCAACTAAAAATAAGTCATGGAGTATGAATAATGCCGCGACCCGGAAGTAGTTAAACGGCCGATAGATCATTCTGACATGTCCATGTTTGCGTATACGGTATTTAAATACTCACTGCGCGAAACTTGTGGATGAGAGAGATAGTTTGAGACGTGTGCGACTCAAATAATCTTTTTTGAGAGAGAAAAAGAGAGGGAGACTTTCTCATCTCAAATCTCCCTTGAAAGTTTTGACACTCATCTCCCACAACTTTCAATAAATCTTCATTTAAAAAGAGACAGGGAAAAAGAAATTTATCAACGGTTATTAATGACTCAAGAAAGGCTAAATAATTGCAAAATCTTTCCTAGAGGGAAAGCTTTTTTTTGCAGAATCTTTCTTCTTAAAATATATTCTTTTTTTTTTCTCTCGCATCTATTTTCATCCACATCTCTCTCTTTATTTTCCTTTAATAAATCTTTCTATACTTTATAATTCAAAATATCGATTAGAATTTTTTAATTACACAAAATAGAAATTCAATTTAAATTATATTATAAAATAATTAAAGAATAATAAAATAATTTTACTGAAAATAAAATAATTTACTAATTCGGTGAATTGAATTTTTAATTCCCTGAATTATTTTCCTTTTACTAAATAGTAGTAAAAAAAAAAATAATAATAATTTTATACGAAGAAATTATTTTCAATGTCTTTTTTAGATGATGCCAAATGGCGGAATGCAGCAGTCGCCAGATGGATTGAGTTTGGATCCCGGCGGATATCAGCAACCGCTTTACCTACAGCAGGAACACTCTATGCAACCAATTAGCGTTAGGTAAGGACTTGCCTTTATTATGTCAGAAACATGCTGCTCGCTAGAAATTCTCAACTGACTTAAAAGCCTTAAATTGCTTCCCATTAAGCAAATTGAGTATAAACGCGACAAAAACCCTTTTTGAAATAATTGACTCTAAATTTATTGTATTATACGTACACTTAATTTCAGAATAAACTTAATTATCTAATAAACCATTTTAAACTTGTTTGAGTGTGTGAGAGAGAGAGAAAGAAAGAGCAAATCTAAAAAAAAAAACCCACATTTATGTTTATATGAAAAAAGGGAAAATTTAACTTTTCAAGAAATTACCATGATTCTATGTTAAATACAAGTATAAATTTACATTTAAACTGTTTTTCGATTATATATAGAAAATAATTTATGTCATTACAAAACTATAATTCTGTATTTTACATCTTTCCTCCCCCTAAAATTAGCTTAATTAAATTTTATGGAGACTGTCGTAAACTACCATAAATATAGTGAGTCATATAGCGAGTGACTCACTTTCATATTGAGAATTATGACTCGCGAGATTCTTAATTATTTCTTCCAAACTAAGATTTTCAAGAACCATAAAAAAAGACGTTTTTTCTGAAATTGCTTTTTTGTTGAATTATATTATTATTTATTTTATAATACTACTATTATTATTATTATTATTATTATTATTATTATTATTACTAAAATTATTAATATTATTAACTTATTAATTAATTAATAATTAATAATTATTTTATTGAATTGAAAAAAAAATTCGAATCTTTATTTAATTTTTTGTTTTCCTTTTAACTGGATTAATTTCAATGAGAGAATTTTGTGAACTACAATCAAATCAATGTGAATTTAATAGACTCATCAAAGCTTGAAATGTGTGAATTTTGTTTGACAGACTGACAGTTAAATTAACTATAAGAGTGGATGCTTTTGCAGTAAAAAAGACGAGACTTTGAAACGAATTTAGCTCACTTCCGACAATAAAAAAAGAAAAGAAAGAAGAAAAAAAAAAAAAGAACCGGTTAAACTGGACAGGATTCTAATCAGTTTCGAAGGTGTGTCGCTTCAAGAATTGAGATTGGACCGCGCGGGCAAATGAGAAACTGAAAAAAATTACAAAATTCCTTTTCGAAGATGCGAAACAATTTGTGTCTTATAAAGACTTCAATTTTAATTAAAAATAATTAGCCAAAACCCAAATCACACATTAATTGTAGTTTTTTGTTTTTTTTTCAAGGCTATTGCTATCAATATGCTAATAATAATAATGTTATTCAATTTCATTGCTGTGAATATTTAAATTATTAAAATTTTAATTATTCAATTAATAATATAAACTTATATTAAAAGAATAATGTAAATATTTTTTTTTAAAAAAAAGAATTACTTATTCATGATTCGATTAGGTTAAAATCTAATCGGGGAAGAATTATTTCATAGTTTGCCAATAAAAAAAGAAAAATTTGCCATCTTTGAAATCCTATATAAAATTTATGAGACACTCGTAAAGAGTTTGAGAGGCAAAAAGGCAGTAAATTTTTATTTAAAAGCTCTCATGATCAGCGATTTTTTTTTCCCCTTTATTTTTTTCTTCAAGTTATAACCTTTGTGTTTCGAGGATCTGTCAGTGAAATTTTTATTGAGAATCACTTTCTGGAGCATGGAGAGAGAGAGAAAGAGAGAGAGAAAAAGAAGATCCTATCAAGCTAAATTTCCTATTCATGGGGGCTCTCATATATACATTAAAAGATGAGGAGCGCGGAACATAAATTTTCAAAGCGCAGACCTCAGCCTTGTTTCTACAATCTTAATGGACCTGTGTATAGGAAACGTTTTTACTATGTTATTCTTTTTTTGGCCCTTTCTACTTCGCAACAAAGTTATAAATACGAGTGCACCTGCTATATCAGAAATTACGACTATAAGCAGTGAATTTTGCTAACGGCAATGCATCTTATGAGGCTTTGAAAATTCATTCGAATTCAGAGAATATTATTATTATTATTATTTGCCATGTGGTCTATGCAGAAAGTAGGTTAGGAAAATTATAATTGAGATATTATTGAAATTGCCAACAATCGTGTGTGTATGTATATGTGTGTTCATCTTTATAAGTGGAACTACTTTGTAACCTCAAAAGACGTAAATTAGTGTCGAGAGCAAGTATAACAATTTTAATTTATATATTCTCTTTAAATTGGTACTTGAACTGAATCTCTTCTAGAAAAATGATCTATATTTTATAGTATATATATATACATACGCTCCTTCATTTTTATATAGAATATCTGAATTTATGATTTCCAATATTACGTGCAAGAGACTTTTATATTCAAGCGCGCGCAATTCCAATTTTAAAAGCAACGCGAGATTTATCGATACTTTATATAAAAAAAAAAATTTCAATATTTACAATCTAAAATTAATGTTTTCAATTTGAAAAATATATTCAAATTTTTTTCCAAGAGTTTCTCTAAAAAATCACATATATAGCGCACAAGCACTCTCAATATATATATATATATATAGTGAAATGTGTTTTTATTTCATTTCAAAACTTCAATATTTGCACTTCTTCAAGGGAAATATCAATTTTATATTTCAATTAAAAAAACTATTCAATTGAAGAAAATTGATTTTAATATTATAATAATATACTTCAATGTTTCATAAATTAAAATTTTAATTCTGTTTATAAAAAAAAAAAACAATTTTTTGATGGTGAATTTCAAAAATTTTTAAGAAGAAAACAGGGAATCAATTAAAAATTTCAGCTGCCGATTATAAAAATTAATGCGTCCCTGCTTGTGGCACAGTGAACGTTAATGACGTCCCGTGGCCAAACCAAAGAACGTCTTTTCTAAACTTATTATCTGCACGATAGCAACAGGCGCCTTCGCGTGTTTTCAACTAAATCGCACGCGTGTCTTCATTTAATCCTTTTTTCACTCCTAATTGAAATCCCAATCTTTTTTAGTTTACAAAATTGCAAGAAAAAGAAGAAATATTAAGTGGTCATCTCTTTGTAAATTCATATCCCTCAACTTTTGTTATCACTAATTACTAATTTTTTTTTTTTATTTTTACAATATGAGAAAAACATTTATTATACAATTTTAATGCGTTTTTTTTCAAGTGCGAAAAATTACATTTCCTTCTCCATCCCTTGGAGATCAGTTTTTTAATTAAAAAGAGGATTTCCTTGAAAAAAAAAAAAAAAACCATTCTAAATGAGATTCTATTTTTTGCATCTCGCGGTATTTCATTTTTAGTAGAATTCCGAAAATAAAAAATTATTATACACAAAGAGAGACAGAACCATTGAAGCACAAAATGATTCAAGTCAACACCCTCGCCCGACAAAATTAAAATTTGCATCACAAATATTAGTTCAACAAATCAAATAGCACACAATTTTTTTTTTTTTTTTTCGCCCTTATTGTCGTCAAACTATTATTCCGAGTTTTTTGCATTGAATGCAGTGGATATAAAAGAGGAAAAATAACAAGAAGAAAAAAAAATTGCTCGGGGAAAATTTATCGGCAGGTAAATTTGATTTTGGATCGTTTGCGAACGCGAAAGTCGTCTGGGTTGGTTCAGGGGGAGGGGGGGGGGGGGGGGTTGGTGATGGTGGGAGGCAAAAAAGAGAGTTGAAATGGTGCGAGGATGTAAAACGAGGGGGTGGCTAAAAGGAAGAGAGGGGATGTAGAAGGGAGAAGGACGAGGTTGATGTAGAGTAGGCCGTAAATCCTCCGACGCTGACGCAGCGGCGGCCATATCTCAAAAGTTATCCAATTTGTGTTAAAATAGCATTCGGGTAGTGGATGTACCTTCAGAACCTTCCACCCCCCAAAACCCCCTCTCCCCTTTCCACAATTCTCGTCTCGTTCCACGAAAATTATCGTAGTCTCCAAGTATTTGCGAATTTCGCGAATAGATAACAGAAATTGGTGTCGCAGTCTATCAAAACCTAGTTGAAAGCACAGAGGCTAAAAGGCATTTCCTCCTTCACTAAACATGATTTACGAAAATTATTATTGCTCTCAAAACTTTTTTTCACTTACGGATATAAAATTTCATTAATTTCTTCAATATATATAGTGGAAAACAAATATTCATGTTAAAATGAACAAATTTTAAAATTATTTTTCATATAGTTCGGCATACAACAGTCCTCAAGGATCGTATTCAACAATGAATTCACCGGGACAACAGCACAGTAATCAACAGTTGCTTTTGTTGCAACAACAACACAATCAACAGCAGCAGCAGCAACAACAACAACAGCAGCAGCAACAGATGCAACAACAACAAATGCAATATATGCATTCACAACAGCAGCAACAACAAGCGCAGATGCAACAACAACAACAACAACAACAAATGCATTTCACCTCGCATCGAGGTTCTGCGGGACCAAGTCCATCAACAATGCCAAACGCTCTTCCGGAGAACAATAATACTACAACCAGTGAAGACAGCGACGATAGCACACCTCATTCCGCAATGGTCAGTAAATTATACTTCAATTTATTTTGCCAATAAAATTTTATCTACAATTGTTTCAAAAATTTTTATATCACTAAAAAAAGGGTTTGTTATTGACAACCAAACGTTTGGTTGGTATTTAAGCAATCAACATTTTTTTTTGTTGAATCAAGAAAATTTTAATTGTCTCAATCAAAATTTGTTTGACACAACCAAAATTAGATGAGCCAAAAGTTCTGAACGAAATATTTTTTTCAATCTATAAATTATTAAAAATTATGATGACCGTGTAAAATAAAACAGTAAATTAAACAATATTATTAAATTAATAATTTCTTTTTAGATATTTTAAACAATATATTTTGTAATAAAATTCGTACCTAAAGAAGTAGCAAAACAAATTTCGTTCATATGAACGTTCAAAACTTTTGGCTCATAAAATTAGAAAAAAAGGATTTTTGTTGTCCTAACTAAAGTTTTGATTGGGACAACCAAAATTTTGTTGATTCAACAAAAAAATACTTAAATACTAACCAAACGTTTGGTTGTGAATACCAAACCCTTTTTTCAGTGTAGCAAAAATAATTTAAAAGCAAATCAAATTCTTAATTGTCGATTTGTGTTTTTAAAAGTTTCGAGAAACATAATTAAAACTTTTTTCAAAGTATAAACAAATGAAAATGCACTGAGAAAAATGTTTAGTCAGAGCAACCAAAATTTGGTTGGGCCAACAAAAAAAATTTTGTTGGTATTTAAGTAACCAAACTATTTGTTTGAGTCAACCAAAAAATGAGATGAGATTTAAACTAACTGTTCTCTTAAGCTATGAGCTGAGAGCGAATCAAATTATTTGGTTGTCGCAACCAAATTTTGGTTAGGACAACAAACGATCATTTGCTTTCTTAGACCAAACTATTTTGTTGTGTTAACCAAATTATTTTATTGTCGTAACCAAATTTTTGTTGGAATTTAAAAATGTTCAACCAAATAATTTTGTTGGCCTAACCAAATGTTTGGTTGAGATAACTCTACGACTTTGTTTCAGCCAAGCAAAATTTGGCTACAAGAACCAAAATTGCCTAACCAAAAAAATTTTGTTGCAAACACTAAATTTTTTTTCTCAGTGTAATTAAAATTGAACTTTGTATATTCAATTGAAATGTAGAAATTTTTTTCTATTTCCTGTTCTTGTTAAAAAAAAAAAAAAAAACAATTGACACAATTAGAGCCGGATTTTATAATTGATTCGTATAATTAACTGGCATTCGAGAAATGTACATTTCCTAACTATCTAATTAAGTAAAATATAAGTGAAAGAAATCAGATCTAAATTGCAACCTACGCAAGAATTCATTGCACAATAATCTCCTTCATTTGTAGTCTAGATGTATGGCAACTTGTTCTCTCTTCTCATAAATTTACTATTAAAAAATAATACATATATATACTCATTGAAGACAGCTGTTCGAGTAATATATTTGTCCTTGAAGAAAAATCTAAATACAAACGACATTGTTCGCGACTAGTTATTAAAAAAAGAAGGAAAAAAAATTGCAATCCCATTATAGAGAGAATAAAAAAACAAATTCTAATTTAAGTCTGACATCTCAAAATTTATTTGCCCTCTGAAAATAAAACTAAAAAGAATAAATTCGTTAAAAGATTTTACGGAAAATCTGTCTTTAAATGAAAACGCGATTCTTTTTTTATTTAGCGTCTTTCAATCCTCTTTACTGTCACAAAATAAATACAATTTCCTATTTTCTCATGTTTTGTATGTGTGTGTTCTATTTTAAAAGGAAATTCTTTCGTCAACAATATATAAGAGCTTTACCCTTGTTAAAAACTTATACAAAAGCAATTCCTTTAACTCGCGGATAATCAAGATTTATTTTCCTTTACCCTGTCAATCTTCTCCTATACTACTAATGATATCTAATGGTTTTTGAAAAGAATTTTTTTTCCATCACTCTCAATAATATAGTCATTCCGTGACTTGTAAAAAAAAACTGCAAAAAATAATACTCAATTTTGAAATAAATGAAAAACAATTAAAATTCTTTTAAAAAATAAATTACGATTAATTATTCTCCAATAATTTTTTCTTCAAAAAAGAATTATATGTCAAGAAGTCAACTTTCTTTATCTAAACGATATAGTTAAAATTGTGAATATTAAAACCTTTTTTATCTCTGTATTTATAATTTATAACACCTGGCGAGATATTAAGTATTTAATTAAGAGACATCAAAATTTAATTTATACATATTGTATACTAGTTCTTTTTTTTTGTTGCTTTTTTTTCGGTAATCTTGAATCGTTAGTTGAAATGCCGACTCTTTAATCAACGACGATTATGTTTTTAGATTTTTATTGTCACACCGCAAGAGTGGTTAAACGCATCATTTAATCCTGGTCTTAATCGACTGTTTATCTTGTACAGATGGCAGGAATCAAACGACCATCGCCAGAACCTGCCGATGCAACGACTAAGGCACAGAAGAAGCCGAAAGCCCAAAAGAAAAGGAAGAAGAAAGATCCCAATGAGCCGCCAAAGTAAGTTTTTCTTTTTTCAATACTATATATATATATACTTTTTGTATCATAATCTGGCAGGTTGCCACATTATTGCCATTTTGGGGTTACTATAGCTTCGAGAAAAAAAAAATGAAGAACTCTTTTTTTTTTTAAATCTGCCTGCCGTACTCTGTCAAATTTACCATCTGCAACTCGTTCCAACAAAAACCACTAATAAGAAAAATTTACAATTTTAAAAAAATATATGAACCCTTCTACGATTTCAGATTTTTTTTTCATGAAAATAAAATTGTACGAGAAAAAATTGGTCCATAATTATAAAATTAAAATATTAGAAAATTCAGAATTTAGATTTGACGAAATTTAGAGGAGTTTTGTAATAATTTATAATAAGCAATTTGTTTCTAAGATAAAATAGAAACATGCAATTTTATATTTAATTGTATTAGTGCAAATCCTTTCTAATTCTTAAGTCATTTATATATATATATATATTATACTCATTGTATTTTTTTTTATCCTCCTTCGTGCTCTATATTTACTAGAATTATTGCAACAATACATTTGCCAATTCAGAACGATTAGAGTCAATATTTTTCTTAAATTATTGTCTTTAATAACTATTTAACGAGGACTAAGTTTTGAAAATATCGACCCGATTTCTTTTTATAGGCGCATAAACTGCGAACTTGATCCAAGAAATTTTTTTTTTCAATTTTTCTATTGCAATTTTTAAATTGCTGATATTATCCAATTATATATAAAAAAAATACCGTTTCGAATATTGTCTAAATCATTGCGAATAGCGAATCATAAAATGAATTAAAAAACCTAATTTTTCATTCAATATCAAAATTTACTATTTGAGTTAATTAATATATAATTTTTAAAATTAATCACTAATTTTAATTAAAGAATTAAATGAAATAAATTATATAATTCTTATCAAATTTTAATATTCATTGAAAACTTTGTAGCCCCTGAGTATTTTAAACGTATATAATTAAAGAGTCGTTTTATTGACGAACTCATTCTAAAGAGGGACAAGAAAGAAAGCTAAATAATGAAAAGAAAATAGATTACAAGAGACAAAGGAAATTATATTTCTATACAAATTAATATCGCAAAATCTTTTTTCAGTTTTTCTTTTTTAAACCAAAAAATTTTTTTTTCTATTTTAAACTAATAGTGAAAATTAATTAATAATTTAATTTGTTTTTTCAGGCCAGTTTCTGCTTACGCACTTTTCTTCAGGGACACTCAAGCAGCAATTAAGGGACAAAATCCAAATGCAAGTTTCGGTGAGGTTTCCAAAATTGTCGCCTCCATGTGGGATGCACTTGACACCGAACACAAAGACGTAAGTAATAATTAATTTATCAAACCAACATCTCAAATTAAATAATTCTCCCAAAATTTCAAAAACAAAAACTACAATAATAATTAACAAAAAAAAAAAACTGCAACAATTGAAATAAATTTTGGATAACAGCAAACTAACAAAATTCAAAAAATAAAATTCAAATTATGAAATTTTCAATTCTATTGTATACAAAATCCATCATTCACAAATATAGAGAGAGAAAAAAAAACGAGAAGGGGAAAAAATCAATCAATGGTACATAGTGAAATACACGACAGTAAAATGAGGGGGGGAGGAACAAAAAAAATTGGAGCTATCACATTCTTGCATCAAACCTTTCAATTTGTAATTAGATCCGGCAAAGTTACAACTATAAGTATATATAAAGGTTTTTCAATGCCTGTGTGTATATATGTATAATCATCATATATAGTCGATAAGTACGTGGAAAGAGGCCGGCAATAAACTTTCACGATAAATAATAATGGTAATTCCCTGGCAGATAGTCAACGAAACGTCGCTTGGAATATAAATAGCTTATCTCTCGTTATAATAGAATTTCACGGATTCTCAACCTCCTCCTTCCTATACCTCTTTTGAGCGTCTATTACTCTTATCGACAACCACGATGAATATCTAGATATATATATAAGTACTCATCAAACTGTAAACTATTATAGCGAAGAGGCTAAATTACATTTAAAGAGAATAAAATAAAGGAAACGAAAAATTAAAAACAGAAATCTTACAATTGCAAATATTAAATAAAACTTGAATATACAGTGTGAAATGAAAATTTTTCATGAGCCGAAAGTTTTGAACGAAATATTTTTTTCAATCTATAAATTATTAAAAATTATGATGACCAAATAAAATAAAACAGTAAATTAACCAATTATTATTAAATTAATAACATCTTTTTAGATTTTTTTAAACAATATTTTGTAATAAAATTCATACTTAAAGAAGTTGCAAAAAAAAAAATTTCCTTCATATGAACGTTCAAAACTTTTGGCTCATAATTTTTCGTCTTATTAAATTCAAAGACTAAAAAATTTCCCAATTAATGTTGAATTTCTAATCGTTTGACGTATTTTCGAAAGGTCAGAAATTCTTGACATCTAACAATAAATCGTTGAATGCAATTGAAATTGTAAAAATATCATGTTTTGTTCATAAATCCTTGGATTTTCTTTTTTTTTCCTTTCGCTTGCAATTTGCACGATACTTTATTTTACATTCTTGGCCTTTTAAGATATATACTTTCGTGAATGATAAATAGTTTTACACTCTTGTTTTATTATGATTTAAAGATTCCCTATATACTTAATTTAACTATCAACTTTTTTTTCTCTAAAAAAAATATTTAAATTAACTTTTCTTTTATTTTTAACAGATTAAGCTTTTAATAATCGTAAAACAGTTTACTTTAATTTTCTCTCCAGTATTAAAAATCTTCGGTATTTCATGTTTAATTAATCCCCCCACCACCAATCCCCCCCCCTTCTACGTGCTTTATTCTCAATTTATACAAGTCCCTTTTTCCATTAGTAAATGAAACTTTCATCTTATGTCAAGTCTATTTTTTTTTTTTTTTTTTTTTTACCAGTGTGCACATTTAATTTTTCTATTTTTCCCTGACTCGTCGTAGGGTACATTTTGTAACAAATAATACATTCTCGTTACGCTCTGGACGAAAGATAAAAATTTTAATTAATCGTAACTCATTTTGTGAAAGCAACCCATCAGCGGAAGTGGAAGTGTCGCGTAATCAAGTCCAGACAAAATTAATGTCACTCTTTCTCTCTCTCTCTTTTTTTTTCGTGTATAGTCACGCGTGTAACATTCATCGAATCAATATAGAAAGCTTTCTCCTAAAAAAAGAATAAAAATTTATAACGGGGGGAGCCTTTAATATTCTCTTACTTTATTAATCGTGTTTGCTTTTCGTTCGCGAAAGCAGATTTTAATTCAAATCGGGATAATTTTTCAATGGATAAAAAAATTTTTCTTTAATCTACCATTTTTCTAAAAGGAGAGATAAACTAGATTAAAAGATCAAAGTCAATTTTTATGAAGAATTTCTTTTACATTAAAAAAAGAAGTTAAAAAAAAATTTTTTTCTTTTCATTGAAATAAAAAATTTATTTTACGGTATATTAATATTTCTATTCAAATTATATATGTTATTGCGCGAATCCTTTGAAATTTTACTTTTACAATGTTTTTATACATTGTCGCATATTGGTATAAACGACACTAAAGAAAGCTGACACCTGAAAAAAAAAAAATTTTAATCCTTTTCTCTCATGACAACTTGCATGGATATTGTATATTGCTGTAAAACGATGAGAAACATTTCTCTATATATCTATATGTTATTTGTATATATGAACATACACAGTGAACTGGCTATAAATTGTTAGAATAATGTAGCAATAAAGTTACACTATCAATTGCTATATACGAGCGATCGTGTTTGCCTCGCCAAGCGAATAAATAAATTCGTATGAATAAATAGATAGGGGGAAGAAACGGTGAAAAAGAATATTATCCTTGAGATAGTTACGCAATTTCACATCAAACTCTCTCTCACACATTATCATATATTCTTCAAAAAAAAAAAAAATAGAAAATTGAAATCTCGCTTTAATTTTTTTACGAAAGCTAAAAAATTTCTCTATATATTTTTTTTTTAATTAAATATTTTCATAATAAAATGCGTTTTCATATTAAAACATTTTCCGCATAAAAAAATATTTCCATAATAAAACAGTTTCATAATAAAATATTTTCAATATTTTTTTATAATACGATCATTTTATATTCCACAATATTATTTTTATCGTTAAAAAAAAATTTTAGAATCAAAGTAAAACATCGAAAAAAATCATTATTAATGAAAAATTGATTTTACAAAGGCGAAAAATTCTAAAAAAGAATTTGAATATGAAGGAAAAATGTAAATTTACTGCAATTTTTTACTATATCTCTCTCTCTACTGTTTTTACATCATATACAATTTTATATTTTTTTTTTCTCCAACGAATGATTTAGCTATTTTATTTTTTAAAAAAAAATTTTTTTGACAAATATTCCCCTGGTTTTATTTAAATAATGTATGAACTCGGTAACAACTCTCTGAATAGGAATAGCGTCCTGAATAAATAACTCGGGAGGATAAATATAGAGTATTAAGTAAATTACCCATAATTGATAACAGTTTATCGACGGTGGAATTATTCATTATTTGACATAATGACCGATGAACCACTTATTTATTTTTTTTTTTTCCTCCCTTTCTCTCTGTCCATATAATAATGGATGACAATTCTAAATTTTAAATTGGTCACAAATAATTACTTTAGAATTACAAATTAGTTCAGCTTGTATTATTATTCGCGATAATAAATTATACACTTTTTATTAAATTTAAAAATCAATTAAAATTAATATCAAATTTATATTCACAGAATAATAATTAAGGTATATATACCTATATATATATATATTGGCTTCATTTGAATATAACATTAAAGAATTTTTTAATTTATTAAAAAAGAAGAAAAACATTTTCTATATATAATTATTATTATTTTAAATTGAAAGTTTCCAATTACATTAAAATTCCGAAAATTGTCGAACATTAAGAAAGAACGTTAAAAAATTTTTAAATTAAGATAAGATCACAATATTAATATTCAATAAAGTTAAATATAAATTACTGTTGGATGCTTGAAAGAAAAATTTATTTTATTTTTTATTTATATAAATAAAATTAAAAATTAAAATTAAATTAAAATTTATTTTATTTTTTATTTATATAAATAAAATTAAAAATTAAAATTAAATTAAAATTTATATTAAAAATATAAATTAAATAATAAAAAATGTTTTTGTTATAAGCATTTTTAATAGAATAAAATTTTCTTATTTTCTTAATGATGTTAGAAAAATAATTGTCTCATCGGTCATTTACTAAAATATAGAAAGCGAAGAAAATTTAGAGTATCAAAAAATAAAGGAAGAAAAAAAAAACAAAAAGCAGAATTGAAAGGTAGCAACTCGGAAAAAATATTAACGATTCATCATTTTTTTTCTGAATGGGGTGTTTAATTGCAATGGAGAAACGAGGACGACGTCGTAATCATCGTCGACGTTGATTGTACCAAGTATATAAAAGCTATCTTTTAAGTTAAAAGTCGTATATACACGTTTCTACTTCGGTTATTCCATTCGTATAAGAAAACGCCTTTTGAGAAAAAAAAAAAAAAAAAACCCTCGTCTATTTCTCTCTCTCTCTCTTTTTTTTTCTCTCATCACATCTGGTCTCTCTATAATATAAAAGAAAAATTTCATAAAGCTGTTCCAGCAAATGATTTTTCACAATCACGATAGTTTAAACTTAAGATGATGAAACATCACAAAATAAAACTCCTCGAAAAAATAAAAAAAAGAATCCTTAGATTTAAACAAGAAAAAATAAAAGTCCAAATTCTAAAAGAAACTAAATCCTTGGAAGAATGTGTGTTGTGTAACATTAAATACAAACTGACAGCTGACTTCACATGTGTTAATGAAACGCAAACATTGTAAAAAGGTTTCAAGTCAGAAATGAAGAGAAAAAAAAAAACTCTTGTTTGATGTAAAAGTTAGAGAAAATAATTCTCAGCTTTTATCATTCATTAAAAATTATATTTAATCCTCTACAAATATTATTAAGAAAAAATAAAATTTTTTTAAAAAACATTTATTCAATGTTTTTTCAATTTTCTCATCGCTAGAGAGAAGGGGAAATGATTTATTTGAAACACTTTGGTAGTAAAACAAATAACGCGTACACAGTATATACATTATAAAATTTTCAATAACACTACGACTTGTATTTTACGTAGTCATATTAAGTCTCTTGATATCGGGACAGTTATTTTCGATACCCCACTATGAGCGAGTCATTATCATAACTTTTTACTGTCGAGTTGGAAGCTATACCATTCGAAACGACTTTATATGTTATCGCGCAGGTGCAGATATATACTCCAATGGCAAGTTTTAAACTCTCTGTATTGCATTCTCTCTAATGGTTTACAAAGAGGACTTTAATTATGACAACGACAACGATCGGCACAAGATTTCATTTAATAACGCGCACACTGGAAAAATGAACCGTTACATTTTCATATTCCAAATGCATTACTTACAAATGACAATCATTAATATAACTTAATACCTCGTAAAGTCCTTTCTCAATATATTCTCATCTTCATATTATAATAATAATAATAATAATACTTGGTAAAATTTATCTTAAAAATTATCAACAATTTATTTGTCCCTTTATAGTGCAAAAATTCACTTTAGACAAGAATCAATATTCCTTTATAGCCTTAAGTCTCAATTTAATTATACTGAATTCTTCTCTGATAAAAATAAAACACGGAATTGAATATAGAAGATCAATCAATGATTGATTGAATACTACTGATTGATTGTTCAATAGCCAAGTTTGTTGCATTATTATAATTTTCAAATTAGATGATTAAATTTCTCCACTATTTTTTATAGAAAAATGATCCCTTTTGAATGCAACAACGAAATATAAATAAATTAAAGAATTTTTTTTTTTATTACATTTTAGGTTTATAAAAAGAAGACAGAGGCAGCGAAAAAGGAATATTTAAAAGCCCTGGCAGCTTATAGGGCCTCATTGGTCAGTAAGGGTGCAACTGATAATGAACAACAACCACAACAACAGCAACAACAACCCCAACCACAAACTGTTCCATATGGAGTTGTTCCATATTCAGCATATGGAGGAAATACACAACCAGGAAATGTTGCTTATCAAGTTTACAGTCCACAACCACAGCCACCTTCACCCCAACAACAACATCAACAACAACAACAACAGCATCAACAACAAATGGGCATTAAAAAATCCCCCCTTCATCTCGCTCAAATGCAAGGCAATCAACAGCAACAACAGGTAATTTTTTTTTCAAAAAGTCTAATAAAGATGAATTTTTTTTTCTGGTTATAAAAAAAAAAACCTAAATTATATACTTTATTTTTCTAAGGCTTTAATGGGAAATCCAATGGCACCACCTCACATGACGCAGCAACACATGCAGCAACAAGTCTCGCAACAACAATATATGCAGCAGGTCAGTGAACTTTCTGATATATATATATATATATATATAATATATATTCTCATTTATTCGAGAAAGAATTGCAAACAGTTTATACAATCTTTAACGTAACACGATATTGTGCGGTGCTTTGAAATTGCACGCATTGTTTCACTGCGTGAGATTAAATAAGAAAAAATAAACGAAAACAAAAGAGCAAAAACCAGTGCTACTAGTTTTAATATATTATATGGGGCATTCTATGGGAAATTTTCATTGAAAATTTTTTTTTGTCCGAAACACTTTTTTCGAAATCTATATGAAAAATAAGGACACAGAAAATTAAAAAGCATTAAAATAAGCTGCAACGCTTCTTATTTTAATCCAATTTTGTTTATTTTAATCCATTTTGGTATTAAAATAAGTAATTAATAAGTAATTAATTTTTTTATTTGATGAAAATGAAGGTAGTTATGATTTTTTGAAATTTAACGAAGAAAGTGTGTTTTTGGAACATTTTTTAATCTATTGTACTAAGAAATTAAAAATTATGCTATATATGAAATTTGTTCATTTTTTCTCAAATTTTTCAAATATGTGCTAAAAAAAAAACGTACCTACAACAGAAACAAAAAAGTTGAAATTAAACTTATAAAGTGAGTTTTCTCAAAAGAGACACTTTCGATTTTTAATTTTTTTTTTTTGCATTACAATCCCTAATGACTGAATAATTTTTTCCCCTATCTGCGAAAGTGGTACTTTTAGTTTTTAAATTACTATTTACAATTTTTAAGCTTGACGCAACAATTTTTAGTATGTTTTTATGAAAATTAAAAAAAAAACAAATGAATGTTAATGGAAAAAGGTTATATTTGTAGAAAAAATAAATTTTATTTTTAAAATAAAAAATATTCTGTGAGCTGTACTAAAAAAATTATAAATAGTAATTTAAAAACTAAAAATACCACTTTCGCAGAAAGGGGAAAAAATTCTTCAATCATCAGAGATTGTAATGCAAAAAAAATTGAAAGTCGAAAGTGTCTCTTTTGAGAAAACTCACTTTATAAGTTTAATTATAACGTTTATATAAACGATTTTTAAAGAAATAATGTTTTAAAATGAAAAATGCTATAATTGTTTGCCTAAAAAATATTTTTTTATAATTTGTTGATTAATGAAAACTACAAGAAATATTTTTTAGGCAAAAATATTATAGAATTTTTCATTTTAAAAAATTATGTCTTTAAAAATCGTTTATATAAACGTTGCGTACTTCAGCTTCGTTTTCTTAGTACAATAGATTAAAAAATGTTCCAAAAACACACTTTCTTCGTTGACGTTAAATTTCAAAAAATCATAACTTCCTTCCTTTTTATCAAATAAAAAAATAAAAAAATAAAAAAATACGTTCTTATTTTACTTACATTTCTAGAATTTTTTTTTTTTTTAATAATTTACATTCAAATATTCCAATATCCCGCACTAAATTGATAATTTAAAAAATCCTAATTTATTTTTAATATAGAAATAATAAAATAAAACTTTCAACGAAAATTTAAATATTCAAATTTCAAACAAACCTAACTGGACTAAAAATAATTTTAAAATTTTGCCGCTCTATCGCAAAATCCCTGACTATAATCGAGTCGAATTTCACGATTTCGATATATACACTATGGCTACTGCTAACGCATTCGAAAGCCCTGCAAAAATGTATCAAATAGTTTATATCCAACAATCAGAAAACAGTCTTCGTGTGAGTAAAAAAAAAAAATTATCACTGTTCCTAATTTTTTTTTTTTTTCATTTATAAATCGAAAATTAATTTTTACTCGAAAAAAATTCACAAAAACCGGAAGCAAGCCATGGGACACCTAACCTCAACAACACTTGTTTATATTTGTTCTTTATATAATTATTAATGTCCCAAAATAAAAAATTTTATTAATTTTTTCTATTTTACAATTTTTCCAAATCAAACATAAATTTTTCACTTCGAGACAAAGAAGAAATTAAACATCATAACCTCAAAAAAAAAAGTTGTTTACACACTCCGACACTCGTGTTTCAAACCTAAAATTTGAAATCTACAATTCGATTTAATTCAAATGAACTTTAATTTACATAAAATTTTAATAGAAAAATTCTATTTTTCTATACTAGGTGGAATTAATAAAATATTATTTTTTTAGGTTTCTCAGCAACAGGTGCAACCAGTACAGGTTCAACAACAACAAATAATGCACATGAGCCCACCGAGAAATGACATGAAACAGGATTTATCAAGTCCACCACCTGTTAATTCATCACAAGCAGCAATGGTTGCTCAAAGGGCACCATCAAACACTTGTATTCGTCATGGTTGCCCAAATCCAGCAGTTGCCAATACCGAATGGGAAGATGAATATTGCAGTAATGAGTGCGTGGTCAGCCACTGCAGGTTTGTGTGAGCATTCTTTTTTTGTTATTTTCATAATATTAATACAAAAAAAAAACTCAAAAATTTAATAAATTCTTTTCTTTCAACAGAGACGTTTTCACAACTTGGGTCTCGACAAATCAACAACAGAATTTTTCAACTGTAAAATAGAACAAGTCAATTGTCAATTGGTAAAATCTAAAACACACAATTCGACTGTGAAATGGAAATGAAAAGAAAAAAAAAAAAAAAAAAGCAACAATGATCGCTTCGAAACTGAGAATCAGAAACTATTCCATTTCGGTTTCATTTTTGGGAGAGATGAGAGGTTCATAGTAACTTGTCATGTATTTATTGACCCCTTCTTCTTAATCCAAATTCTACACACCAAGATTTTTATTGACGAAGCGACAATTTTCCGAAATAACGATGTCGCGTTTTTAAATAATCGCGTCATCAATTATTTTTTTTTTTTTTCAAGAGAATGTCGAATGCTCCGAGAGTGTGAGAGAAAGAGAGATAGCGAGAGATCCGTTGGAACTGAGGATTAAAAGTACAAGTAATAAAAAAAAAGAGAGAAAGAATGACGTATTGCATGTAAATAAATACGACGGCGTATGACGAATACTTTGTATTTTATTTTTTATTTTTTTTTCTGTTTTTTTTTTTGTTTGTTTCCGTGAAAGTGAGAGCAACAATTTTTTGGACATGCAGAAAGGAAGTTGTAGAATAAAAAGAAAAAAAAAAAATGAGAACAAAAACTTGCATTCGGCAGTGCCATGGCTGGTTGTTTCACACTTCACACTTTGAAAACTTAGCTAGGAATATAAACGAATCTATACATACAATATAAATAAATATATAAATAAAGATAAATAATTATATATAAATATATAATTAAAAAAAAAAAAAACCGAGTTGCGATCACAAATAGTGACCCGTCGTTAAACCCTGCGAACTCGGCGCAAAATATGCAGTATTCTATTTAATCCGAAAAAAAAACTTAACGAAGAGCTAAAAGAAAACTAGTCCAACTTTGAGAATTCGAGAAAAAATGACAATTTCAATGTGTCTATCCATTAATCATCATTTTAATTTCAATTTTAATGAATTTCATTGTTGGAAGTTTATAGATTACTTCGAAGATGATAAAAAAAAAGAAAGAAGAAGAAGAATAAGAAATATGCAACAGGGCTCCACTTATTTTTACATCATTTCTACTGGCATTCAATTCGTGTAATAATCAAACTAGTTCGACAATTTGGTATATCGACGGTTTTAAATAAATGATATCGAATCATTTTAACTGAGATATAAAAAATATATTTGTTTAATTAGAAAATACAACACTTTACGCTTTCTTAAGTGGAAAAATTTTATTTCCTTTTCTCCTTTATTATATATCATAGTTAATCCCGTTTTTTTTTTTTTTTTTTTTTTTTGTTTCGTTAAAGATCGAGGAAGCGCAGAGAGTTTTAATTTTGAATATAAATTATTTAAGTTGATACAAAGAGAATTTCATAGTTTTTAAAAAGAAAAAAAAAAGATTTTAATATTAAAAAAAAAAAGCAAGCGAGGTATTTAAACAGCGTGTTTTGTTATTTTTAAAGATTTAGTAAACCAATTTGGGCTCTGAAATTATCGTAAACAGTATGTATCGTTAAGAAATGAAATGTTTCGCGTTCTTAGCAAGTGCTGATGAAAAGAATGAAATTTTCTTTTATAAAAGCATAAATTTTTTTACATATTTGAATGTTTTATTTTAATTTGTTTTTTTTTTTTTTTTTGATGATGTTATTTAGCACTTGTTGAGAACGTTTCAAGATTTTTTAATCGTTTGTTTTTTGATATTCTTATGTAAATATCTAAATATATTCTATAGATTTATAGGTTTTATTGTAAACATAATCAATACTGTATTATATTGATAACGATTTGTGGTATATTAATATACTATATATGTACAACTATAGAATGCAGCAGGAATATTTGCATTTGGCTGGTGCTATTTAAAAAAAAAAAAAACAAAAAAAAATTGCTGAAATCGTGTAGAATCAAGAATGAAAAAAGTTTTGCCAAACACGAGTGTTTATAACATTTCAAGATTTCTTTGAAAAAGAATGCAATATAATCGAGAGGAAAAAAAAAATAGTTTGGCATCTTTTTTTTGTGCATTATAACGAAACGAACAGCGTTTTTTACAGATCTGATCTTTAAGTAATCCCGCTGTATCCTATAATTATAAAAAAAAAAATATTATAATTTAAAATAAATATTAAGATATTACTCAAACAAAATACAGAAAACACGCGAATCCCTTATTCCCCTCGACATTGTCTTGTTCTCACGACACGAAAAAAAAAAAATGCGACACGATTTTACAATAAATATTCATAATTGCATAAACCTATATTAAAAAGAATTAAATCTAGAAACTATCCAGCGTATATAGTAGTAATAGCACTACACATCAAATGCTAATATATGATGGTGATTTGCAATGAATTTACGTTCGTTTTTTATTGTTTTCTGTAAAAAGACTTAATTAAACAATTTCAGTCCCATATCGGTTGTTATTCTTTAATAATCATCCCTAACACTTTCCCTATTAAAAAAAAAACTTTTGCTCTCTCAAGTAATGTCAAATTTAAATTATAAAAATTTTGAAAAATAATTAATAATTTTTAATGATTAGTAAAAATATAAAAATATCAATTTTTTTATATTTTAAAAACTCAAAATATTATTTTTCTTAAATATTTTTAATTTTAAAATAAATTTCAAAAAATAAGCCAATTATAAAAAATCAATTATATCGTACAACTTGTAATTATTTTTTAGATTAAAGTAATTACGAAATATCTGATTTATATAATGACTCATAAATGGAGGTTAAAATTGTTAAATAAAATTATCAGTTTATAAAACTACTATTATTTTTTACTTAATGAAATAGCGAAAAGAAACGATAATTAACTTTGATAAACGATAAAAAATAATTTTCCATAAATGAAAATCGTGTAAATAGAAAATTACTTTAAAATATTATTTCAATATTTAAAACCATTAACAGATCAGTTTATTCTATATTGTAAAAGAGTTTGTTTAGTTCATTTAACATAAAAAAAAATTGTTTTTCCAAAAAAGTAGTTAATCACAAATAAAATGAATACTAATCCAACAATTCAGATTTTAAAATTCTTTGGACTTCATCCATATTGGATAAATAATAAAACTACAAATACAAATTCAAAATTTAAATTACATTTATATCCAAGTTGTTTCTGTTTTATTTACTTTATAAATTTAATTTATTCAATAATTGAAGTTTTTTTATATCCGGTTAATAATAAAACTATCATTGAAACAAATATCGATCATGAATTACAAGTAATTTATTCAATTTTTGTAAATTTATGTACTCTAATAAGCTGTATATCTTGCACATTGCGTTATCAAGTTTACGAGAATATTTTATTAAATATAAATAAATTTGACAACATGACAAAAAATCGAAAGAAACAAAAATTCTATAAAATTATAATAGAGTGGTTTGTTATAATAACAATTATTGTTGGTAATATTTTAGGAATGTTATATAATAAATATGCTTGGCATCAATTCATTAAATATTTTATAATTTCATCACTCATATATATGGACAAATTAAAATTCATAATTTTTGTCAATGAAATAAATAACAGATTCATTCTTCTCAACGAGATGTTTATAACAAGTAAACTAAAAATTTCCATTAAAATTGTTTTTTTTTTATTTTTGAAATTTTAAAACTTTTTAAATAAAACAATTTTCTTTTTAGATGAAAGAAAAAAAATATTAAATCTATCATTGACTGAAAGTGGATTTTCTATTCATTTTATTCATAGACTACACGTAATATTACAAAATGTGATAAAATACTTTAATGATTATTATTCCTGTTTGACATTAATATGGTTAATTATATTCGTAACGGATTTTATTCTTCCAATAAATATATTGGCTGAAAATATTGATATATATCCAAAGTCTTTCATTATACCAGATGTATTTAATTGTTTAATACAAATTATAATATTATTTATAATTATATCTTACTGTGATGAAATGGTTATTCAGGTAAAAAAAAATTTCAAGGGTTTCTACAGAACTTTTTATAATTTATTGCAAATAATATTTAAGTGGATTTTAGGAACAAAAAAAAATGCCAAATTTTAAAACTTGAAAAATTCTATGACTATTTTTATATTTAAAGTGTTTTACAGATTTTTAAGAAATTTATACAAAAAAAATCTTAAGTCTTTTCCAAGTTTTTCAGATTCTGTAAAAACCCTGTTTTAAATTTATAAATTTGTAATTAATAATTTATTCATCATTAAAATAATATGTTTTTGAACAAGGCGAATTCCTTCGGAAAATTAATATGTGGAGATAGTGAAACTCTGATCAATTTAAATCCAATTAATATAGTAAGTAAACTTTTAATTAAATGAAATATAAAAAATAAATTTAAATAAAAAAAAAAATTTTTTAAATAAATTTCTCTTTCATTTTTTTTAAATGCGTTCTTTCTATTTTAGGAAGACAATAATGTAACTTCTCTTTCAATAAATTATTATCCCTGTCGTTCAACAAATTTTGTAAGATTATATAAATTAATTAATTTATAAAGAAAATTTTATATATTTAGAAAATATATTTCAATATTTACAATATCAATAGGACAGAATCGTGTATGGAATATATTACGGAACGCGAGAAATTAATATAAAAATTTACGATATAATAATTTTGAGAAAACCACTTTTCATATCGGTAAGTTGGAATTAATGTTTATATTTAAATAGTTCAACATTAAACAAAGACTTTATTTTTTAGATAACTGGAATAATTGCGACATTAGGGCTCATTTGTTTCCAGACTTAATTTCAATAGTAATATAAAAGTAATTATTATAATTATTAATATATTTGTTTTTATCAGCGTTGTGAATATATTATTAGAAATGAAAATAAGGAACTAACCTTTTGTTGATTTTCCTTAGGCAGCTCGACGATAACAGCCTGGATAATCCTGGATGATGATAAAGAATGAACAGCAATTGGCAAAGTAGGATCCCTCCATCCTGCTGATATCCGATTTTCCAGACACTTCGAATTATTTTTCACTTTTTCACAATTTCACTTTAACACAATTTCACTTTAATATAAATTCACTTTAGCATAATTTCACTTTAACACACAAGGAATTTAAACGAGCATTGAATTCACAAAATTTTTCCGAATTAGTTAAAATACTTCCGATATAAACGATTTAGATTAGAAATTTTTAAGAAAAAATGCGATTTCCCGAACATTTCCGATTGTTCACGATTTGCACCGAAAAAACATGGCCGCCAATGAACCATAAAACACAATATTGAAAATTATTTCCGGAATTATTATTGTGAGCAATATATATATATTACTTGCTCCACCAATTAAACACTAATATTACAAAAACCTCACTTCCGGTTAAAGATGCCACTGAATATTTACTGACATTTATCTGATAAAACACACGATCGATATACTCTTCGCTATACTTTTCCGATACTATCCTAAAATCCCGCCAAAAAGATCAGAGCACGACCCCACCCCCCACTACTTTGCAAAATCATATGACGAGACGACACAATAGAAATTTTTCCTAATGTCCCATTAATTTAGATCACTGATCTAGTTTAACTTATATTTCTGCTTAAACAAAACCGAATATCACGAAAAAATGCACTTCTGAAAATTATATTTATAGAAATTTCACTGGAAAAAAAATGGCCGCCCACCGACATGAAAATTTAGAACTTTCCGATTTTCATGATACTTGCGAAGTATTTGTTCGAAATTATAGTTCAACGATACATAATTTGCGTCAAAGTCTTAAACGAACACGATTATTAATTAAAACTGAATTTCTGAGCAAAGAAAATAACGAATATTTGGCGAAATTTTACCCGATCGACTAACAATGAGACCGGCCGGCGTCCTCAAATTAACAAATTAGAACGAAAATAATTAGTATTTTTCATGTTCCCAGATCGCGATCAACTAAACGAAGTTCGATTTTACGTGATATTAAACTTACGCACACTAATAATCCCGATTAATTAACTAAAACTCACTAATTAAGTAGATGCGATCGACACACTAGATGTTTTTCACTGCAGCACTTGTGCCAAACTGTTCGAACGACTACACAGTGTTGCCAATCCACAAAGCTTAAGGCAAATGCGCATGACTTTCGCAGCGCAACAAGAGCCTTCTCATTGGTCGATTCACGCGGGAAGATTCAAATACATAATATTGGACATTTACACACGGCATTTCAACCAATCAGATTAATTATATCTCTCGACCTAAAATTCATGCGCAGTTATACTTCCGTTTTGTTTGTAGGCCTGTTTCCGCCCTCTCATTTCAGTTAAAAATTTGAAATTCGTATATTCAAAAATATCGCACAAATAATTACATTTTTAAGTGTTTACAAGTTTCTATAAGGTTAACCGCTTTATTAATACAATAAAGAAATTTTTTAATAAATAATAAAGAGAAATTAATTAATAAAGGGAAAAAGTCAAGTAAATAAAATAATTATTTAAATATTTTCACTGGATAAAAAATTCTTAATTAGAAAATTTAATTAAATAAAATCAAGTGAAACAAAACAATTATTCGTTATTATTATTAATTATTAAATAATACTCCTAAAATAAATAATTTCTTTAAAAAATTAATAATTCCAGTAATTTAAAAATATAATGTTTAATTAAATTAATTTTTTAATTAAATTATTTGCAACAAAAAATTAAAATACAACACTTGTGATTTCAAAAAAAAAAAAATTAATTAATTTCTAAACATGCCAGGCATTAAAGAAATTACAAGTATTATATTATAGGCCTTAATTTTTTTTTTATTACAGTTGACGATTTACAATTTACGAATTTCTCTTGCGATAGGTTTCGGTAATGCGAACGTTTCATTCCTGCGCTTTTTTAATATTTACATAATAATATTTTACAATTATCGCTAAATTACTTAAATATCAGTAACATTTTCGACGTTTCAGTGACTTATAATTATTAATTTCCATGAATTCATATTATATTGTCAACAAATGGCTGGCATAATATGTTCAAGTCAATTTTTTCTTAATTTTTCAAAATATAAATAATTTGACAAAATTTAAATTAAAAACAATTATAATTTTTTTTTTTTTGGATTTATCGACAATAATTTTTTTTTTTTCGAGACAAATTTCTAATTTAATAGCAAAAAAAAAATAAAATCACTGCACAACAGTCTTTTTCGTTAGATATTTTGTTATTTTTATAAAAATTCTAATTAACTACCAAAAATTGATTATTAAAATTGACTGTAAACCACATTTTTCTTTTTAGAATTCCATTTTATCTTCGAACAATTGCGATTAAAAATTATTTGTTAATTCTATTTATTATTTTACCCTTTATCTCAACTAGTAAAAATACGAATTATTCACTTTCCTAGTTTGTTAATTTAACAAAAAAAATTCTATTTATTTATTTATTGTGATAAAATTATAAAAATTTGATTTTTAAAACGAAAATGTTTAAAATTTTAATTTACATGAATTTTTTTTTAAATATGCAACATTAAAATTGATTAAAATTTATTATAAAATTTCAAATTTACAAATATCGCAATTTTGCTTTTTGACAATTGTATTTTTTTGTTTGAATTTCAAACAATTTTCTGTAAATCTTTTTTTTCAAATGAAAAACAAAACGGAAAATTGTGTGAAAATTCTAGTTATCGAATTTGAGATTCGGTTGTATTTTATATTTATTAATTATACCTATTTTTGTAATACAATCAGTAAGAATATTTACACATTGTTAAAGAACGCATTATAGCGAATAATTGCATTAATTTTTTTTGTAGCGAGAGAAATTCGTTTCGTTATTTCTTCAAATCACAAGTTACAATGTACTTTGGCAGTAGAAAAACGTTTTCACGTCATTTCGCGTACATTTCTGACCGTTAGAACATTTTTTTTTTTTTTTATTTCTAAAATCAAATCCTTTTTATTAAAAATTTCTTAATTACACGAAATAACGAAATTCACAATCACTCAAATTCACGGTCAAGAATTATTCTTTTTCTTTTTTCTTTTAAGAGAGAGGAATTCTCCAAATGTACAAGAAAAGGCCGAAATCGTTGAAAAATTCACTGCTTGTTTTTAACAATAATTTGGTGTTTCACTTTTTTTTCTTCTTTGTAATTGCTTGACTAAAATTTGTTATTTCGTCAAAATTATTTTTCGCAAGAAACATCAGTGCGTTCGGTGTTCAGATAATTCTATAATACTGCAATGTGTTTTACAAAAATGGTTGTAAATATTAATAAGACTTAGGGACCAGTTTCGTTTGGCATTTTAAAGGAGCAAAGTTTTGAAAAAAACAATGAATCCCGCCATTTACTTATTTTCCTTTTTTTTTTTAGTACGTCTTAATATCTAATTTTTGACACATAAAGTCAAAAAGAAAAAAAATTAGCCTTTGCATGTTAATTATTTTATATGTACAATTGTTTTTTTTTCTTCTTTAATGACAAAAAAAATTGATGTCGACATGATTAATGATATTCTTCACGAACTTCAATCCTAATTCGAGTCTCTCGATGATAATTTAATGTCAAAAATTACAATGAATTATGCGCATGAACATTATTACTTATTCACATATTTATACATGCAAACGCCACCTGCAGATCATAAATAATAAAAAATAAAAATAAAAGCCAAATATCTTATTTAGGCGAATAAATACTATACACAAGAAAAAAATCATGTCCGAATAGCCAAAAAGTTTCACTCCTCGCCTTGGACTCTCTTTGATTGGATCCTGCCCAATCAATAATAATTTTGGTATTTTTACAAAAAAAAAAAAAAAAAAAATTCTCTTTAACATTATTGCCAGAGTCTTTTTTTTTCTTCATAATATATAAATTAAAAATAAAAATGCGAAGATCACCTTCTCAAAAAGCGTTGCAAAAAAAAAAATAAAATAAAAAATTGTATATATATATATATGCAATTAATCTAAAAAATGTGATGCGATCATTATCCTCCGTAAGGAGTTATTATATGGTATGTACAATAATAAATGACTAGAAATAAATTGCTCTCGTATGATTGTAAAATTAATTTTCGCACCAAAAGAAAAGAAAATGCACTCGTTAAATATGACACACCCAAAAAGAAAAACGTTTTTTTTTTTACCAATGGGAAAATAAAAAAAATATATATCCTATTATTAGAATGTGTGATAATTGTTAAACGAGCATCTTCAATTCCGTTTAACTGTCTTTAAATTTAATTTTATATATTTCATTAACTCGGAAGAGTCCCTTTCTTTTTTTTTGTTTAAAAAAATTTCCTAAAAACCCGACGTCTAGAAATTAATTCTCTAGACTTCGGTGGTGCGACTATAGGGACCAGTTTCCTCCGATTGAGATAATTTTCTCTCACGTTTATTAAATAATCCTCCTAAAAAAGATGGCTGTTGAGATAAGCCTTTATTGATGCCAGGAATTGTTGTTCCCGTATGAATAGAATGAAGTTGTCCATGATGTTTCATTCCTTGGCTCATCGAACTTGCGGAAGTCGATTGAAATGAAATTGACATTCCACTATCCAATGAACCGACACTGCCACGACGTTGTGGCTTCTCTCCGGCGACTATAAAAACAAATAATATTTAAATTAATAATAATAATAAATAAAAATATTTATTAAAATTATGTTTTAATTTTATTATATTTACGAATTTCTCTTACATTGTTCATGAATATCGAGAAGAGAATTGCTGAGTGCTGATCTCTTTAACTGGCTGTCCATATCAGTCGTTTCTGATCTCTCAGAACAGGAACCGGGACAAGGACAAACCTCAACATCAGCAACACCTGAATCGCGATTCTCCGCACTTCCCCTCGTACCTCTGCTACTCTTTTGTCGTTCCAATTCAGTCTCAATTCGTAAAGTCTCCATCTCGTCCATTTCGCTAATGGACTCCTTCAAATCCTCAACAAATTTGTAACGATCAGTTTCATTACGTGCATTGAACGTCACCAATTCCTTTCCATCGACACGTTGCGACAGTCTTATACCATACGGATAATCTGCAATTACAAGAAGAAAAAAAAATTAGTATTAATTTTTACTATCAGTAAATTTAGAAAAATAAAATTAAATTCAAACTCACGAGGAACTTCAAATAACGTGACAATCATTCCACATAGTGGAAAACTTTGCCTAAACGTATATGTAGGTCGTCCTTTTTTCTTGCCCAAAATTTTCGTCACAACAAGCAAATCATTAAAGAGAAATACCTCCCTCTGATGAACGCCCGAACGTTCCTTTTTATAGATATCAGGAATTTCATATAGTCTGCAATAGCAAACCAATCGTCGATGTGGTAATGCCATATTTGGTTTCTTACCAACAAAACCCGCTTGTACTTTCATCACTTGTGTTACATGATCAGAACCAGGTTTAAATTCATTTGCTTTAACTCTCTCATAAACTCCAATTAATATATCCTTATCAATATCACCACAATCATCAATACCGCGTAAATTTTTAATAAAGTCCTCCATTCTCATTCGACGCTCTGGTTTCAGGTTCGGCGTATGCAGATCCGTGTTGAGCATTATTATTGCGAATGCAAGAACAAATATTGTATCAGCCGATCGTAACCTTGATATTACATCGGGATTACATTGACAATAACGTTGGCTAAACACTTCCATTAAACGTTCAATTTTTTGCGCTTCACCTGGCATTCTAAAATAGGTTTGAAACTTTCTCAATGCAACATCAACTTGCATACCAGAAAGATCTAATTCATGTGAAAAACATCTGAAAATTATCAAGAAAATTTTGTAAATATTTAAATTAAATGACCAATTTATTTATATTTGTAAATAAATGAAAACTCACTCTAAAACTGCCATGTTGAATGCATTTTGCAAATTTCCAAGATATTCGCCAATCATTTGTTTGGAAAGTCCCTTTCTTGTGATCAAAAATCGAGCGACTCCCTGTGGACTATTCTCAAGGAAACCCTGCCTGATAAGATAGGTGATGCCCCTCTCGGGTTTCTTATTAAAGAGATTGAGACCGACCCTGTATTGACGTTTTCTATTTTGTTCCGAAACTTTGTAACTCGTTTGAGATATCGCCTCAGTGTGATCCATTAGTGGGTGTTGGTATCCGGAATTCGCATGGGAGTGACCAAGTTCCTTGACGCTATTCATCATGTTGTTACCCTCATTTGTATGACCACAATCCTGATGTTCTGGTGAACCCGACTGAAAACAATCATAAAATAAATAATCACAATTTTTTTACATTAAACAAAAAATTCATTTCAATTTTTTATTAATTACCGGAATTTATTTTTAATTGTCATATTAAAGACGAAGTATTTAAATATTATTATTTACTTTAAAGAATTAATTAATTAAATAATTTAATATATTAATTTTAATCATATATAATAAATTATGGTGAAGTAAATTAGAATTTTTTTTTTATTTAAAAACTTTTATGTTTTATTTTTTGTATGTTAAAAAAAAATAAACGAAGTTTGTAAAAATCCAAGATGAAAACGCAAAGTGAAAAGAGGAAAAAGGTGTGACACTCACAATGCCTTTATGCTTCCAAATAGGCGAGCCTCTCTGTGCATCTCCTTCAGAGCTTTCGCAATTAGTCGAATCGCTTCCTGAACTTTGTACCGAACTAAGACTTCCATTTTCCACACTTTTACTGAGGCCATTGTGCCTCGGTTCCATCGACCTCGATGTAATTGACGAAGTTCGTTTTGGTACCTCGGGTGGTACTTTTTTCGCGGATCCACGATTTCTACCACTACAACCACCACCCGAAGAATTTGTCCAATTTTGTGACAACGAACTTTGTTGATTATGAGGCGTCGATGGAGAAGTGCATGGAGTTCTATGTGAATCCCTTGGTGGAGTTTCTTGTCTCAATCCACACAAAGTTTCCTGCAAAGTTATAATTTAATAAAAAAAAAAAAAAAGGAAAGAATAATACAAAGCTCTGAATTAGAGACAAAGAATCTTCACCAAGACTTTTTTTTAAAGAATTAACTCACTCGACAGATGTGCAAAGAGAGTTGTAAAAACTTTAATTTGCTTGGAGAATATAGAATCAGGTCATGATATGAAACTCGGTAAACAAATTTCAGATTAGGAAAATAGAGAAAGAGAGAGAAAGAGAGAGAGAGAAACGAAGACAGAAACAGAGAGAGATCGTAAAAACATCTAATCTAACAACAGATGATGCTCGATAATCATTGTACCATCTTATTGAGAGATCTGGAGATACGAAAATATTTCAAATATAATTATGCTGATAAAATTTTTTTTCTTCCTGATTTACTGAAATGGCGACTCATTAAAGATGTTATTAATTGAAGATACCATTAATTGAAGATAATAAATAGACGATAGAATTAACGGAAGATAATTAAGAAGATATAAATAACTAAAGCAACCAATAATTATAAAATTCATCGAGTCGTTAGGTCGACACCTTAAAGTTATGGTTTTACTTTTTTTTCACTAATAAAACATGTAAATTAATAAATTTCAAATTTTACTGAATTTTAATTGCAAAAATAATGAAAAATTAAATAAAAAAAAAAATTCATTGCAATCATTTTACTTGGAAATTCTAAATTGGAAAATAGTCTCACTCTTGAAAAAACATGAAAGACTTTGGAAATGAGATCAAATCCATTTCTATGCTTATGTGCAGCTCTCGTCAAGAAAATGTTGAAGAATGAGATCAATTACATTTATTATGCAGTTTTGTATAGTTTAACGCGCGCTTTGTATAATCATAAATTCTAGTTGTAATTTCATGAAAGTTTTTTTTCATATTCTCATTTCAAATAAACAATTTCAATTCGTATGATTGCATTAATAAGATTTGTAACTAAAAATAAAAATTTTTAATAATATTTCAATTAATAGAAATTTCATTTGATAAGAAATTCCAATTAATGGTATTTTCAATTAATGATAATTACAAATAAAATTGTTTTTGTGTTAATGTTTTTTGCAATTTTTTAATTAATTTATTTATTTTGTGTTTTATTCAATTTTTTATTTTATTCGCTTTGTATTATATTTATTTTAATTTCTGTTTTATTTTCTTATATTTATTTTATAATTTTAATTTCTATTTCATTTAATTTTTTATTTTTTGTTTCTATTTTTCTATTTTATTATTTTCTGTTTAATTTTCTATTTCAATTACACTTTATTTTCCATTTTTTTTATTGTTTTAAAATTGATGGACGAAAAGAAAAAATTGATTAATGAGGGAAAAATTGACAATTACCTGTGGATTGTAATAATGAATGCTGGAGCCACTTTCTTGTGAGCTTGACTCCCAACAAGGACTGGGTGGAGGTTGATGCCTAGCACAAGGACTTGGCGTCATTGAATTAGAATGACGAGTACTTTGATGAACATTGTGATTAGCATGTTGATGAGCATTAACCCTGTGACCTCCAATTTGTACCTCACATCTTCCACTTTGACTACGTGGCATTGGCGACGACGATTGACATTGTGAATTATTTTCAGGATGTCTCCTTTCTCTTAATGACATACTTCTAATTGGCATTGGTCGATTACCACCAACTTGACTTGGTTGAATATAAATTTGACTGTGATAAGGATGCCTCTCGTGATCCTGTCGTTCGGCTGCCTCCTGTAATTTTCGACTTAAACGCTTCTCTGCCTTTGCCATTGCCGTGATTGTTGCAAATTTTTTCAATAATGTATAACGTCGAAATGCCCTTTGAATTGTGAGGGCAGCATTTCTTGCCTTTACACCACCATATTTTCTCTCCAACATTTCAATTTGTTTCTCCAATAGATCCTGGGACAGCTCGTATCTAAAAATGAAAATTTTGTTAATAAAATTCAAAAAATTTATTTGTTAAAATTATTTTTGATATTTTTAATTTTAATAATTGATTTCTTTTTTTTTTTGAATATTTGACAAATCGATGGTTATTAAATTTAATATAGAATATAATAAATTGTCTGGGGTTCCAATTTCGGTGAATGACGTCAACTTGGCGCCCTTTCCTTGTGCAAATGAGCACCAAGGGGACGACGAAAAGTCGAGGACGAACAATGCATTCTACTTTTCGAGGTGATTCTCTCTTGACTTATGCAGGACTTAACTTTGGCCTCTTGTTTTACATAAACCGCTATTATTCCACTTTTAGATAATATTCCTTTCTTTTCAAAACTTTTCGTGTATGTAACTTAAGTCAAAAAGGAACTTTCTCAAAATACGTTACAAGAATTCTAATGTATTTTTGCGATTACAATATTATATTTTTTTTTTTTATAAAAAAAATTAAATTTGAATAAATTGAAGGAAATTTTTGTTTTATAAAAAAAAATTACATTTTGAAAATAGAGCGGAGAAATTGAATTTACACAAGTTATGTTATGAAATAAAAAAAAAACCACAAGACATTCAAGGCCAAGTGACATAATAATAATGTTCTCATGATAAAAATAATTATCACATAACAAAAGAACGATACTAATGACAATAACGAGTGACTTGATATAACAATAATGAGAATTCATTTGCAGCCTTGAAGAATTTGTTCCCACGTTTTAGTCGAATTATAAACACAGAAGAAAAGTCTCGTGCGTCATTATATTCGAGATTTAAAAATATAATAATTACGGAATTTTCTTTGAATTTCTTTAAATATTTAAAAAAAAAAAAAATGAAAATCTCGAGCGAAAATCCATGAAAATTAATCTAATTAGAAAATTTAAATTATTTAATTGCATTATGAAAATTAATAAATAAATGAAATTAATCAAATATAATGAACATTTTTTTATCAAAAGGATTTAAAAATAAAAACAGAAAAAAAATTGAATTTGAAAATTAATAAATGATAAATAGAAAATCAAAAATAGAAAATTTCTAAGTGGAAAAAAAAATTGTAAACGCAGAACTATTTTTTTTTTTATAGAGAACATTAACCTCAATGAAATGAATTAAAATTTAATTTATAAATGATGGCATATTTACAGTAACACAATTTGATGATTATTGTATTCTATTCTTTGACATCGAGACAAATGAAGATCTATTATATTATGTATATAAAAAGTTTCGCAATAAAATTTTTTTTTTTATATTCCACAATATTCTAGGAAATCCTTATAAATTCGTTCTGAGATGAAGCTATAAAAAGTTTATATTTAACGAGAGAATAAAAATCAGTTCCGAATAAATAAAATTAATCATTATTTATTATAATAGGAGTTTTAATTTCATTTTTTCTCCAAATGAAAATTTTACTTAATTAATTTTACTAATTTTACTATTAATTTAAATTTTTTTAAAATAAAAATAGAATTGAAAATTTGGTAAATGAAAATTTAATTTTTAAATAGAAAATTTCTGTTCAATAATAATTTTATTATTATTTTTTAATTTTTTTCATTTTTATTCTCTTTTCTTGTAAGTCCATAAATTGTAATTAAATAAATAATATTTTTAAAATTAAAATTCGTAAATAATTCTCCATTAAATTCCTTCAAATAGAATTAATGAATTTAAAAAAAAAAATTTTTTTCATTGGCAAAAAATAAATTAAATCTCAGGAAGTGCTTCTTGTAAATATTTGAAGAATCTTGTGTTGTGCATTTAAAATTCAAGGGAATGTGGGATTAAAGTTGAAGTTGTTTTTATAAGCTTTATATGAAAGTCTTTTTTGTAAACCTCAGGTATTGGTCCAGGTGGATTATTTAAATGGGTTATTGGAGAAGATAGAAAACTTACCCATTACGAATGGATCCTTTTTTATGACATGCCTGCTGAAAACCAGACTGTGGTTGTCCCCCATAACCCTGAACTATTGCTCCATAACTTTGGGGTTGTCCATAGCCCGTGTGTGGATACACCTGCACAGTTGATGGTGGGTATGGGCCAAGAGTATAATTTTGTCCTTGCATATAAGACTGCCCTGTTATATACGATGTTGAGAGGGCTGTTTGATTTCCGGGGGAATATACATTGTGCACATTTCCGCTGTGAGCCTGATTAAGGCTTGTATTGTGCGTCGACCTCTCCATCTTTTGTGGGAAACTGCAACAGTGAGAAAAAAAAATTATTAAAAAAGAAAAAAATAATAATAAAACATTTTTTTTTTTAATAAAATTATTTTTTGGTTCTTTAATTTTTTTGTTCTCTAATTTTTTCTATTTAATATTAATTTTGATTCCTTAATATTATTTTTTTCTTTAAAATTATTTTTTATTCTTTGAAAATAATAAAAAGAAAATAAAAAATTATATTCTAAATTAATATTTAGGAAAAAAAAATTAATAAAATGAGGATACTTTTAATTCGATTTTCAATTAAGTGCCAGATATATTTTTTAATGAATCCTCAAGTTTTTAAGGCGAAAAAAAGGAACCAATATTTTTTTTTTTTTTGCTCTCGCAGGTGAACTTGAAAGTCACAAGTAATTAGCAGGAATCAATGCTGATGTCTGGCTTAATATCCGCTATACGTGATTACCAAACGTAATTTCCGGTGCATACGTGTGTGTATGCATATATTCGACATTTATTAATAAAAAAAAAAAAAAAAAAAAAAGATTCGCCTACAGAAATACGAAATTCGAACGAAAAAAAAAATCATTTACTTTATTAATATTTATTTACCTATAAAAATCGAATAATTTATAAACAAATAGTAATTTTTTATAAAAAAAATATTTATAAAAATATTTATAATTTACAATTGAGAATTTTTCAATTAAAATTAATAAATATTTAATGTATATTTAATATAATATTAAATATTAAATATATTTAATATTAATGTTTAATATAATATTAAATATATTTAATATTAATATTTAATATAATATTAAATATTAAATGTACAAAATTTAATTTCAGTTTGTCATTAGAATATTTTGGTGAATTCGAAACAAGCAATTAAATAATTGAAGCTGATATCCTTGTGGAGATCTATTTCATTTTACCCTTTGGACTAATTAACCTTCATAATAATATATAGAAGTGTCGAGTGCTCAAAGGAATATATATATATATATATATATATATATATATATATATATATATATATATATATATATATATATATATATATATATATATATATATATAAAATAATTGAGCACGTGCTACGATTACGAAATTTCGCCATCGTTATATATATATTGCAAAACATCTTTCATTGCATGAATCATGTATGAATCATGAATTTCCTTCTACACCCCAATCCCTTTAAATATATATCACCCTAATATTTTTTATATATAACACACACACTGAAAAACATACCCCACAAGAAATCCAGAAACAACGATTATCATCTTGATTTGAGTTTATATTTCACTTGCACAAATAAATAATTTTTTATTTTAAATAACAAAAATTAATACACAGTAAACCGTTAAATATTTTCATATTAATTAAATTTAAAAAAAATTAACGATTTTTTTTTTCAGAGAAAATATTTAAAGAGAAAAATTATTAAAAGTGAAAAAAATATTTGATGTTCCTCGAGAAACACGTCCGCAGGTTTCGACAACGAATGCTTGACTGAAACGTTTCAGCTGGCAGCTGCTAGCTTTTAAAAAAAGGACCTTCTTATTTCTATATAGTCAGGAGCCTGATGATCAAGGTGCAAAGGAAAAGGAAGATGAAGATCCCATAGAAGGTGGGGAAAAAGGAAGGGCTGCATATATAAAGTGAAGCCTGTGAACACGTGTCTCCAGGGATGCAGAACTTAACAAAATTTTTCAAAAACAAAAATTTTTAATGTTAAAAATTAAAATAAAATGAAAAAAAAAAATTAAAATAAATTACAAATTATAATAATAAAAATTAAATGAAATAAATAATAGTAGAAATTTAATTATAATTAAATAATAATTAAAATAATAAATTAAATAATAAATTAAATAATAATTAAAATTAATAATAAATAATTTTATTAATAATAATTAATGCCTACTGAAAGGTCTAGAATAAATAATTAATAATAAATAAATAAAAATTACTTTAATTAATATAATAGCCATTGATAAATTGCCATGAGTATATAATAATTCATCATAGTTATTAATTAATTGCTTTAATCATTATTATAAAAATTCTATTCACAAAAATTGATCAATTTTTTAATTAATAAAAAAATTTAAAAGAATATTTTTATACCACTGGATTTAAATTGCCTATAGCAATTTTATAAAATATTTAATTATTAATAGAATAATTATTTATAAATTGTTAATTAACTCTTTATAAAATATTAATTAATTATTTATAATTTGTAAATTAATTATTAATAATAGGTATATTAATTAATTAATTATAAATTATTAATTATTGATTAATTATTAACTAATTACTAATTATTAACTAATTATTAATTGTTAACTAATAATTAATTATTAACTAATTATCAAATTTAAAAAATTAATTTCTCATTATTTACAATATTTTTCAGATTTTATAATTTGTTTCTCGATATGAATATATAAATTATTTATTCAGAGAGAGAGAGAGAGAGAGAAAAAAACAATATTTTTATTTAAATACTGTATAATAAAAAAATTATTATGTTAAATACGATCCTGCACGTCAGCAGGTAGATATAGGTGGAAGGCGTACACGCGCTCCTGCGCTCATATCGTTTGCGCGCTTTGTACACGACCGTGACACTCAACCTTCTTTTTCATTTACTTAGACTTATTACAATATATATGCCATATAGATAGAAATAATTACGTAAAACTTTAAGACAATATTGTTCGCTATACATGATGAGTCAAGCAATATATTTAAATGGCTTTTTTTTCACGCAAAGGTGAACTTTTTTTTTCTATACATAAAATAAAATCAATTTCCTTATTTTTTTGCTAAACAAAAAAAAAAAATTCAAAAAACCTATTATAATTATTTTTTTCTAATACATTTTTTATTTTTTCATATTTTTTATATTTATTTATATTTATTTTCCAATAAATATAAATTAATAATTAATTAATTTAATAATTAAAAATCAAAATTTTAAATTTAGAACAACTTTTATTAATAAAAAGATTAATACTGCATAAAAGAATCAGAGATTGAAAAATATAATAAAAAAAAAAACGTGACGAGAAATATTAGAGGAAAATTTGAATTATTGAACGGTATGTAACTATATATATGTATACAATTTTTTTTCATTGTCACATTGTTCGAACGTGTTGCCACATGAACATTGAGAGATTATTTGCGTCAAACTGGCTGTATATATATATATATACGTATATAGAATTTAAGAGAGCGACCTTTTCCAAAAGATATGTTCCGAGTGCGCTTTGGAACCAATCGATATCAATGACTATTTTAAGCTACTTGTCCTCGACGTTAAGTGCTTTAATTTAATCTGCCCCAAATCGATACCCTTTGTACCCTTTTTTTTCTCTCTCTCTCATGGAGAAAAAGCAAAAAGAAGCCTAAAAAAAAATATTATTCAATACTTGTATCTCTATACATTCTTTTTTTTTCAAGAGGGATTATTTAATATTGTACAAAAAAGTTGATTCAAAACTATTATCAAATAAATATTTATATACTTGTATCAAATAAATATTTATTTGAATCAAATAATTTTTATTTGAATTAAATAAATTGTATTTAAATAATTTTTGTATTTGATACTAATATCTTTTCTTCTAGAGAAGATTTTAAAAAAAATACTCTGATACAGACATGCAGTTAAACCTGCTTAAGTGAGATATAATAAACAATATATCCTATATTAGAAATATAAATAAAAACTATATATATACAGTAAAAATTTAAAAAAAATAGTTTCTAAAATATTCCTAATAATAGAGGTACAATTACAATTCCCATTTAAGAAGGTTCGACTGAATTTTCAAAAAAAGTGTCACTGACCGTAGCATGAAATTTTAAATAAAAAAAAAAGTAAAAACTCAATCTTTCCGCAAATGGCTATAAATTATCGCATCTCTATATGTGGGTGTCGTGTGCCATTGGGGGTTGTTTGCCCCCCCCCCTCTTATATGGTGAAAAAAGGGTCTTTATATGTAGCAAACAGCACCTGCGAAAAAAAAAAAATGAGTATTCGAGGAACATTTCTACTTCTTTTTTGAAATAAAATAAGAGAGGCAAATCGTGAAGAAGCCGCACACAATTTGACGACGAAAGAATGTATTATAAGAATGGGGAAATACATATAATATAAGAAACGAGGAAAAAGAAGGGAAAAATACTGATGAAACATCTGCCATCTGCCTGCGTGTTTGGCTCCTCTCGAGACCCGTGCCATCATCATCTTCTTACACACAGAGAAAAAAGAACACACACACACACACATATACACACAATTTTGTTAAACGTAAAGAAAAGGAACACTGACACGAGAGGCACGTGCTCTTAACGTAGGTTCTGCTATACACCTGCCTGATATGTTTCACAGAACACCCGGAGTCATCATTTTGAACAGCTGCTAACGAATTATAATCATTTTCAATCTCAGTGTGTATGGGATTCATCTTTTTTTCTTTTTTTTTTATTTACAGTAAAAAAATAATATTTTTATTTCATTTCTACATATATTTATTATTTTATTTAGTTTTCAATGTTTCTTCTATTATTTAAAAATATAATTTTTTTTTTTAAATACAGTCATACCTGTTTTAATGGTACACTTGGGGATAAATGAGAATTTTTTATTACGCTCTAACGCTATGATAATAATTTTCCAACGAAAATTTACATTCTTTGAAGAAATTTACTATATAATAGTGCTGTCTTACTTAATGAGGTTTGACTGTATTATAATATAAAAAAGAAAAACAGTAGAAACACTAAAAGTTTATTATTTAAAAATTCAATGGAATCTTTTAAAAAATTTATAATTAAACAAATTTACTATTAAATAGTGACGTCTCACTTAAGGAGGTTTTACTGTACAATAATAGTAATAATAATAATAATAATAATAATAATAATAATAATAATAATAATAATAAGTAAATAATAAAAAAGAGAAACACTAAGAGTTTATTATTTAAAAATTCTATGGAACCT